TAGTATAAATTAGTAGTAACCCTACCTCTCTCTCTCTCTCTCTCGCTATCTTTTCTTTTTCTCTCTTACGACATCGTAACGACACCCAGTGCATCCAGCAATGCTAAAGCGGTTACGATGGCCGGTTCTCCAGGGGCCAGAGGAATTTTCACCGGAGGAATCGATTCGGGAAAGAAAGAGGAAAAAGAAAAGAGAAGGAGAAAATTCGGAAGGATGGCAGATTGTTCTACCGGCTAATCGATCGGTCAAATATGGAATCGGAAACTAATTTATGCCAGCGGTGGTGAGGCCGCGTTTTTCCCGGAGCATAATACGTGTTGCTCGATTATAAACAGTCATGGTCGCCGTGAAGTATGATTTAACTATTGCTGTCAGCGTGTCATGCATCGTTTGTCACGATGATTAATTCGCTCCTACTCGATATCCCCTTTCATCGATTTTCTTGCTCGCTTTCTACTCGATATACTTTCGATAATTAATCATTTCCTCTTCTGTCGGCCGACGAGTGTTGTTGGATATCGTTTAATTCGACAACCTCCCCCGGTTTTTTCCCTTCGAAAAGAAGGTTACTGGAGCAAAAACAAAGTATAAACGTATAAAACGATCGCTACTGGAGTTTCCAGTTTCTTATCCCCTTTTTCTTATCATTCCAGCTCTCGCAACGATAAACGTTACAACTTGTAGAGTTAGTTAGAATTACACAATAGTCAGCTTTAATATAAACAAGCTAGGTACACCTAGCTACGAAGGGAATTTTCCTTGGTCGGTCTCGTCATTAGTTGGCAACAGTTCTCCGAACATTAATACCGTCGTATCGTAGAATCGAAGATAGTAGATGGGTCAGCTACCAGTCTCACGTTGCACACAAAGGGACAACGCCCCTTGTTGAAGTTGGCAAACAATGGAGAGTACGGTGTGCTTAGTATCTACCAAAGTGAAACAAACTTATAATTAGTTATGGGAGCTTGTACCGAGATTGATGCCTCTACTTGCATTCGCAGCTACGAGTTGCACGAACCTCGTAATATTCCACACTTGGCTAACTTTATTTATCCCAGACTCCACCGAATCATCTTCGCTCGCAGTTTTACGTTTAACGATCGATCCGAATCGTGTCGTTACGAATCGAGGGTAACCTACGTCGACACCGTTTCGAATGCCTTCGTTCGAATGATGATAATGACGATGTATCGGGGTTGAGAAACCCTGACACGGCTCGTACGAAAAATCGAGCGCGCACAGCTGCAGCGGCTAAGCCGAAAGGGTGCCGGTGAAGGGATAGCAAGGGAGGAGGTGCATAAAAAACACATGAGCTGGATCGTATGCATTTTTAAGAGCACTAACCCTGTCGATGGTTCTTATCCAGACTTACTGCTCAGACTTCGCTTTTTATAGGCGCTTCCGTTCATTCCGGCGTGCTACATGATTCGAAAGGGGAGTTAGGTCAGTGGGTCGTTTAACGAGTAAAGCGGCGAGGAAACGTAGCTTCGATCTTTTCAAATTATGCGAATCGAGAATCGACCGTAGTTGATACATTCGTCCTCTTTTATGACACGTAAAATGGAAATGATTCGGATTGGATCGATTTCTTTCTTTTTTTTTCTTTTTTTTTTTATATAGGATTACGATTACAATATTATTCTTGCACGATGAAAATCTTGAAGCGAGAATCGAGAATTCGTCGAATTACAAGGCCTACGAATTTATAATATTGACGATCGAATTTGTTTTTTCAGGATATACGAAGGTATATTTTATCCATATTTTAAATATCTCTGTGATCGTGTGGTTAAACGTATCGAGCGAGTCTTGTTAACACGACTATGTATTAAAATAAGAATATTGTATAAATCCGTGTCTGGAATTGTAAAGGGTAATAAAAGGGTAATCGAGGATGCACCTTTACGATGAGATTTATTCCTCGATAATCGGTTCGTTCGACTTTATCGGTTTTATTTTTTGCATAATGAGAAGCGGATAAGTTGAAGAAAAATCTCGTTTAACTCTCCGTACGTTGAACAGGGATTACTTTGATAACCACTTGGGTGACTGGTGGGTATTCAACGCGTAGCTGGCGAACTATTAATTAAAAGAGTCTTCGGTAGAAGTTACCCGGAGATCCTTTAAGTAATTTCGTAATTCAACCGTTGCACAAAGCGGCGGGGGATGGTTTTAATATCGTAGCTGAATAGAAATTTCACTGTTTCTAACTTCCCCGGCCTTGATGGCAATACCTTGTCTTTGGCACAATAACGAGACCTTCCCCGGCAATGGCAATTAAGGGAGGAAATCTTGTACAATTTTTTAATTAACAAGAAATCTCGTCTCGAAGGATAAATAAGTAAATACACAAAGTAAACAAAGGACGAAAATACCAATGCAGTCGAGTTGAGTTAATTATTAATTATCAGAATTAATAAATCAAAAACGTGTAACTTGAGAAGAGATATCGAAGAAAAGAAGAAGGAAATAAATAAAGGAAAGACTAGAACGAAGAACGGAGAATTTTTTAGCCGAATAGGAGGAAAAAAATAATAATAATCCGACCTTGACAGCCTCCAACTCGACTCGGTCGCCAACCAACCCTTTCCAACTTTGCCAAGCAAGCAGTTCCTTCTTCTCTCTCCTCTATTTTTTTTTTTTTTTCCTCCCATTTTTCAACCCATCTTAACTGATAGGCACACATGCTAGCCGTTAAGAGGTCACGGCCCCTTGACCCAATTAGACGTTTTCCCCGAGGGTGTAGCACGATTCAAGGATATTGCGCGAACGTGTGCTCCGAGCTTTTCATTAGTTCGACGTTGAGATTTCGTGGGCCGCACTAAATATAGCGGTTTATTGCCGCGGTCGTGCAGACGATAAAATTCGCGGTGGGTGGTGTGTAACGGCGTTGCTGCTGGCTTGTCTGTTGCTTTTCTGGAGAAACGAATGGTTATATAGACGTGCAGAGAGCTGGATATGCCGTCTAGCGCGGACAGATATATAATATTAGCGAGCGCGAGCTTAACGGGTTACACTTTCTCCAGATTTCCGTCGCGTTTCATTTTGATAGACGATATAACGGATGCGCAAAATTTCACACAATGTCGCGTTCCTGTTCTACCTACCTATCTATCTACCAATTGAATTTTGTAGAAACAAAATACAGAAGAGGAAATGTGTCTACGTTAAGTTCAAAGAAAAAAAAATCGAAATCATATATCACCAAAGTGAAAAAATTGATAAGTATGATAAGAAATTGAGAATACGTTGGTACGAACAGAAGAAAATGAAATAGGATGAAATATCTTTTGCGTGTAATATTCATCTTTTTCTGGATTATATTTTATATTACTTAACAAGACGGCTCGTCGTGTCACACTGTATTTCAGATATTCCTTCGGGAATTTATGGTTAAGTGAAAATGTCGAGAATGATCGACGAAGAGGTAAATTAACTTCCCCCATTAACGTAATTCAAAATGGAATTAATATTAACCGGGTGGCAACGAGTACGTAGCGAGCGGTATTTTCCGGATGATTAAGAATAATATGCAAGGAATCTAATTGCAACGCGCGAACATCAAGCTACGCGGTATACGTGCTGGTAATGACGTGGATCGTAAGGGTCTTTGAACTCGTTAAACGCGACTGTGCTCGTAAATTGTTATTCACACCCCTCGGTTCGTATCGATGGTTTGAATGTGTCATAATTACGATTCGTACGAGCTCCATTAGCCGCGTATTATTTTTGCGCGGCGAAACGATGGATGGAATTGCCGTGGTGTCGATGCTAACAACGGTCACACACTTTTACATTGTAATTTAACGATTTAAATATATATGAGAATCCCTGTGCCGGGAGCTACGAATCCCGAATTAAAATTTACCGTCCGTTTTGAGCCACGGCGTTATAAATTTGAGCTTGATCCGCTCTTAAAATGTCGAATCGTTTGATGAATCGTGCTGCGAATCCAGTCGTTTCGTTTAAATATCGCTCGAATAAAGACTATTTCTTGCTTTTGCCTTTTTTCCCTTCCCCCATTACTTTTTCTCGTTTCGTCTTCCTTTTTTTTTTTTCTTTTTTTTCATTACTTACGCGTATATTATCGTTGCTTGAACGTCAATTGATTCTCGATTCGTAAACAACACGATCGAAGATAAAATAAATGTTCTCCTTTTTTTCATGCCTTGCCTATCAAAATTTTCCACGATAAATTCAAGTTTCGTTATATCGATGGAAATATATATTTGATCAGTTAGTTTATTGTAAATGGGTGGCATGTAAGCTTGTAAAACGATGTATCAACGTCGATCCGTTGCAAGAATCCACGACGATAACTCAACTTAACCTTAACGGCCGCTCTCGTGAAGTGGCATCGTTCTTCTTGTCTCTTCGACGTTCGTTTACGACCTCATCGCCATTTTATTCGTAGGAAAACACTCGGGACCGATAAAAAAAAGTTGCAATAAATCGATGATCGCTAATTTTCTTAGGCGATATATTGCCCGCTCGATTGCCGAATAAAAGAAATTTCTACGACCACGGTGTTCCATTATGAATCCTCGTTTTTTATCCTATTCGCGCAATTACAATTCTCATCGTTTCTCTTAACGACATTTTTCATCGCCTCTTCTAATCCTTTATTCCAACTTTAGATTATTCTTTGCGTTGTTTCATTTGCATATTTATCACCGATTAAAAAATTAAATTACAAAATAGGACAATCACATTTTTTTTCAAAATTTCTAATCTAATTTCAAAATCTATAAAGATTTACATTTATACGGGAAAATTTTAACGTCTAACAAATAATATTTTACTTCTATTATCTAAATTTTTATTTTAAAATCGTCACCGATCGGTAACACTAAATAAGATTATATCTCGTGCACACGAGGATATTTAACCTTTAAACAATGTTCAAATACGATGTATCGAGCTGTATGTGGATATCGCGACGGAAATGATATCACGTCGACGTCGAACAATCAGCTGGTCGGTCCCGTGTGTACGAGGTCGAAGGATCGAGTATCTCCAGCCGTTCGGTGTCTCCGAATCTTTATCCTGTGGATCATTCTCGATCCTGTGGTTTTAGTACGCTATAAAAGTTCCAACCCTGTGACATGCTTTATATCAGTGTCGCAATCGTATTTCAAACACAAGGATAGGGCTGCCATTCCCATTCCCTGTCCGACGATACTGCTTCTTAGTTTCTATTCGTTTTTTTCTTATGATTTGCGCGGATACACATAGGACATAGTCACTTGTAAAATATATTAATGTTTCAATATAAATTTAGTCCCATAAAAATGATAACGATATACGACGATTTCTTGACACGAGACGTTATTTTTACTTATTGAAAGTACGTAATACTTGTTTAATTGTATCATTCGTTGATACGAAATGGTACATTTTGTATAAAATTAATAGTTTTCGAACTAAACACGAAAGAATGAATGTATAACGAAACGTTTAATAAATGATATGTTTATGAATTTTTAAGTTATACAGAGAGAGTACAGCAGAATGTACTCTCTCTTACAGCGTAATAGAGATTCAATAAAGAGAAAAGCGGTCTTTGCGATATTCATGAAAAATTCATGAACACCTCCTTTATTCTGACAAAGATGAGTACGTACCTCTGTATCCATATTTGAGATCCTTGGAATCTTGTTTCTATTTTAGTTGAATAGAACAATCAAACACTGCATCCAATTTTGTTGCACACTTTTCTTAATAAGAACTTTTTAAAGCGTGAAGTTTGAGTTGAAAGAGGTTATAATAATACAGAAGACACTTTAATAAAAACTTCTTTGATTGAATTCTAACCACATTATGTTATCTACCCGATTTTAAAACCGTAACTCGTTATTTTGTTCCAATTCTCTCACGACTATTAACACGATTTAAAAAGTAATTTATTGTCACGAAATTTAACACTGACGTCAACAATGGCGTCTTTTTCTATGCATTTGGCGCGATTTATGTACAAGATGTATGCGCGATTCGATGCGCAAGATGTATGCGCAATTTAATGCGCGAAACGCATCTCAATTAGCCAGTTCTGCGTTCTTTTTTTCGATACAGTATATGTAGAATCAAATAACAATGTTCATTTATGATTCATAATTTCAAAAAATTTCAAATAGTGAACAATGGAAAATGATTATTCTTAAAAAAAAGACGTATAAAAAAAGATGCTATATAATAAAATCTCTCTTAAATTATAATTACATCGTATTATTCGATTTATAATCAAGATGTGATCACAGCTTGTTATTTTGTGCAGTTTTTTTAGCAATTATCGTTAATATAACTGTTTAAAATAATTTATCGCTTTGATGCTCTTTTCTATGCGTTTCACGCGATTTATATACAAGATATATGCACGATTTGATATGTAAAATGTATATGTAATTTGATGCGCAAGACGTATGCGCGATTTGATGCGCGAGACGTACTGCGCATTTCTTGATCAGCCATATTGAAATTCTTTTCGTTTGGTTAGTTCGGTATATATAAACTCGAAAGAGAACAACGTTTATTTGGTTTAATAATAATTTTATAATTTTAGAAAAGTTACAAGAAGTGAACAGTGAAAAATGGATATTTAAAAAAAAAATACATAAAAACAAGGCCGCTTTAATAAAATTTTTCTTGATCACGTTATAATCATATCGTGTTATCTAATCGATTTATAATTAAAACGTAATCGTATCTTATTATTTTATATAATTTTGTTAACAGCCATCGTGACTGCAAATGTTTTTAGTAATTTATTATCATGAAATTTAATACTGAACTCTTGATATTCTTCTCTACGCGATTCGCGCGGTTTATGCGCAAGACGTATGCGCAATTTGATGCGCGAGACGTATCGCGCATTCCTTTGTCAGCCATGTTGGAATTTTGCGTTCTTTTCGTCCAGTTCGGTTCGGTACATTTAGAATCAAATAACGACATTTGTTTGTGATTCATAATTTCAGAGAAGTTCATAACTTTCAAGAAGTGAGTAGTGAAAAGTGATAAACGTCAAGACGCAAACTTGAGGTTCGTTTATAGACTCCAATGAGAGTTCCCGCGTAAAGATAATAACGTGAATCACGTTAGCTGCGTAGTTAAATATGTCGTATTTTCGGTCACAAATTTCGAGAACGAATGTGTATATTTTATCTTTATTTTGGAAATGCTGACGACTTTAAACGGTACACTAATTTAGTACACAATGATGTCATTAATGATAATAATCCAATATTCATGTTCATATTAATTTTCTGCTTTATTTTCAGGATATAGGTTAAATACACTTAATATCATTACACGCATGAACTACTACTGGCACAGCATGTTTGCAAAGGAGAATCTTCATCGTGTAAATATTTATCGAATCGCGATGATTTGACATCTCATCGAATGCGGTAAGTTTGTAACTTCTATGAGTGCATGAATATTTATTGAAAACATTTAATTAATGACACGATTGAGTAACTCGATTGATTTCAATATTTTCGTTTAACGAATTTAACGAAAATAGCTTATTATTCATATTTTCGTATATACATATTATTATACACGGTATTAATCCTATAATACGGGATTTAGTATCGAGAAAAATGTTTGTATTTTTAAAATTTTTTTTTCAATTTTATTCAATACTATAAAATGAAAACATTACAGTATTATTACGTCAGTATTATTAAAATTTATATTGACCGTGTTATATTGACCATAAGAACATTATTATAATTTGTGAACTATGTTTTATTAAAATAATATTATGTAAATACCGTATTATATTAAGATTACCTCTATTATATGGTATTATATGGTATATTAAAATTTCAATCCATTAAGCTTTTTCGGAAGCTTCCATTGTAATATTCCATTGTAATTTATAAAATTTAACATAAATCCAATCGTCGAGATATCGTAAGATTATCGATTCAATTCATTTCTTTGATCGTTCATAATTTCGTCATCGGAAGCAAATCTCGAGATCGACGATCGTGTATTCGTCGACATAAAAGCAAGCTTCCTTTTTCCAGGCAAGTGGAAAACGATCGTAGGAACGTAGTCGCACGTGCTAGAAATGTCGACTTTCTCAGCTGTTCGTTGTGCCGGCATAAAGAGAAACTATTAGCCCGCCCGTGGCGTCGCGACGACCTGGATTAATTTAGAAATTTAATTAACAAAACCGTAAGCGCTCTTTCCTTCAGTCTCGCACCCCATTCTTCCCTCTGTTGTCATTTTGCTCTCACGATTTTTACACATTCATTCGACGGAATTAAAAATAAGATGTTCTCGTCCGTAATTTTTATCGTAATTAAACATATCTTGTGTATTTCATTCGAACGCCACGAAAACGCGTCGTGAACGTCGTCCAATACGAAAAATCCTTTTCGATACGATATAAAATCAGCCTCGGCATAAATTTGATCAATCGAACACAGGTGATCGCTAACTTATTTTACGATTGCCATAATAAAAGTGTCGACGTCTGGACACGGTCTCGAACATCTCTCGTTTTTCTCGTTTTTTATTTATCTTACCGTTCGAATCGATGTTCCGAGCTGCGAAAAAATCATGTCTGCGCTACGAACACGGGCGGCACAATAGAAACAGAATATTTAGATTAAAACGCAAACTCGTTACGTAACTATACAAACGAGCTCGTGCGGTAAATCACGTCCACTCGGTTCTCTTTATCCTGCTGCCATCCTTCATGCTTGCTCGCTGGAAAATCGAACCGAATAAAAAACTCGACGCCCTCCTTGATTCTCCCGATCTCTCAGTGGAAGCGTTGATTTATCGCGGCAATCTTCGGAAAGCAAACACGGAGGATCGCGAGCAATGCTCGCAAATGAGTAAAACGTTTCGCGGCCGCGAGATCTGTAACGAAGAATAATTGAAATGGCGTGAGAGCCTAGGGTATGGACTGTAGCAGGTATACGCGACTCGTCTCTCCTCGATCCTCCTATACACGCGACGCCGGCCAATCTCTCGACGTATATATCTGCCGGGGTTACGCTCTTCCTAACGATTTTTCGATATCGGTAAGCGATGCGTTTTTATCCGTACCGCGATGGAAACGTTCGAACGTTGCAGACAATCTGCCGGATAACGCTTAACTGTCCCCCCCACGTAGCTAGAATAATCGGCCGATTTTTATGTCCCATTCGTCGTGGCGCCGCGTTTCAAGCGGGAATTTATGAAAACGTTTATGAAGTCATAGGGTTCAGAAGGTTGGGAGAAAGAGAGAGAAAAGAGCATAAGATATTCACGACGAGAATGCGATGTTACGTTCTAATCCTTCCAAATGGGAGGATCCCACGATTGTCGGAGGTTGCTTTATTTCGCGCACGAATTGTTTCTCTACTTTTCGATTGCCTTTGTGCTTTATTTCTCTATTACGATTTTTTTTCCTCGATATATATATTTTTTTATTCGAACAATTAATTACGTACCTAAATACCTTTTCTGAGATATTCCTCTCTATTTGTTTTTACGGTTTACATATTATAATCTCTCTTCATAAAATTCAAGACAACCGATTGAAATTCACCTGTGAACCAATTCACAGTGAATCAATCGCGGACTTCACGGCTCTCCTCGCTCAAGGGTGAACGGTCGGTTATTCACAGCGATTCACAGCCAAGCGCGTAACACGTTCGCGCGTTGATCCCCCTTTGATGCGCTTGAATCGATCAACGTTGCGTACGTGAACCGCGTGCAGGTAAAACGCGGCGTGTAACGTTGGACGAAAATTCCATAACGGAACGCGAATAATCGTGCGCAAAGGAACACGAATAATTTTATATCCGGCCAGTTTCGTGTCGGGCCATGGATATCGACGGTAAAACCGTAATATACAGCCGGATGATATTTTATTTCATCGAAAATTACGTAATTCTCAGCGTGTTGGACGTGTTAATTATTATAAAAAAAATACTCTCTCTCTCTCTCTCTCTCTCTCTCTTTCTCCGGTGAAGAGAAATGTGCTGTGGCGAGCTCGGTGTCAGCTTCATTACGGCGGAGTGCTGGTCGGAAGGATTTAAATCCGGGGTCGGTCGCCTTAAATCGGGAAGGATTCTGGACAAATCAGATCGTCGTTCACGTCGTTGTCGTCTTCGCCGTCCGTCGTCCTAGTAGTCCTCGTCATCCGTCGTTCCTTCCCTTCCGTTTACGCGTCGACGAAGAGGAGGCTTGACATTAATAGTCTCGCGGCGGATAAGCCGTTTTTGAAATGACGTTCGAAGGGAATAATACATGGAGGGTCACTTCTCGGCCTCGTCTCTCTCCACCCCAACGGAACGGACGTCCCTTTTCAAATAACGCATTCGAAGTCCTTTGCTTTTCGGCAAAGTGGAGGACCCTTCACAGGGACTTCCACCCTTACGCCGACCGTCTCACACTCCGCTGTATATCTATTGGCTTGTGCGCGTGTAGATGTGGCTGGCCGTGACGTACAGGGTGTTCTGGAAATAAGAAATAGTTGGAACGATTAATAACGATGGTATCGTTTATGGCTTTTTCCAAAATGGAAGAAATTGACCCACTACAACTTATCCTATGAATATTCATACGCATATATAATATAATATATAATTCTTATAATCCTTTTACATTTATTTCGTTTCGAATATATTCCGAGTGTCGTCTTATTTTTTTTTTTTTTTATTATATCTGCATGATTAAATTTCCCTAATGATTGAATATCGATCACTCGATTCTGGTTTCTTGCAATTAGCGTAAAATGATTGAGTGTTTAATTTTTCTTTTTTTTTTCCCCCCACCCCATGATCCATTAAGCTTTGATGCAGTAACGAAATTAGTTAATTATCGAGAGTAATCACGTGCACGGAGAATATTCGTAAGAATAATCGAAATAGAATTTCGTTCGAACAATGAAAGCGTGGGTTCATTTCGCAACTATTTTAAAAATTTCAGCCAACATTATAATAGAGTTATAAAGAGGCGCGACATTAAATCCATCTTTGACGCTTTTAAAAAGCTTTCGTCGGACGCCTGCGGAAAAACACGCCTGTCAATCAATATTTTAATTATAATTTCGGCTTCAAAGGACGTATTAATTGAATTTTATCAGTGGAATTACTTCGTGTGTAAATAATTTCTTACAGGCGTGTACGTTCTCTCGTAATAACAGCGATTAATTTGCCCCTTTTAGCTGGAAATCGCGTTGTTGGAACACCTTGTACATAAATATTGAGGCACACGCGTGTTCGTTCCTCTCTTTTTCGATCGGCCAGACAACCCTTCTCTTGCACCACTTCCCTGTCACTCTCGTTCTCGTTTCCCCACTTCTAAACTCTGTCTTCGTTAATTGCCTCAATTAAATCTTTGTTACGAGCGATTTAAGCTCGACGATTTTTGGAAGGAGAGGACTGATGCACGGATTGTGCGTGTAACGATACGATGTCTTTCCAGGAACAGGTTTGTTTCCAAGAACGTCTTATAATAGAAGTTTATATATATATATAAAAAAAAGAAAAAACGAAATAGAATTTATTCCAATTATAAATTCACTTCGACCCGAACAAGAAAACGAATACAGCGAAGATAACGAATGAATCTATCCGTTAAATTGACTGTCTATCGAATTTATATAAATGAAATACCGTGGGAAAAATAATTGATTAATTACCAACAGGTAATACCGTTGGAAATATTTCATATTTCATAATACTTGGGGGGGAGGGGAGGGGTGACGATTTTAATTGGAAAGTAAGTTCATCGAATCGGGATTGAACCTCGACAAAGGAATTCCTCGCGATATATCATCGAATAAAACGAAACGAAACGAAACGAAGTCCGAAGAATTTCCGTCTATCGCGTTACGTGGTAACAAAATAAATTCTGGGCCCGGCGTGGAAAGTTCCGCGCGGAAACAGATTTAAACAAAAGCCCAGACGAGTTTCGCTCATTTCCATGAAACGAAATTTATGCCGTGGCAGGAAATGGCGTTCGTTTCCACGTCGATCTATCTTTCGCCGGGGCGAGGCGTGGCACGATGCCCGACCGACTTTCATCGCTTTTCGATCAATCAATACCCGCCCGTTTACAAATAATGATGTTTAGCCCCCCTCGTAACAAAGCGGGGATATACGGCAGGAAGGGGGGGATACGGCATTGGATTACATTCTCGCGGCACAGTGTCGCGAGAACGCGTAACGACAACACCGGCAGCAAATTATTTCGCAATGCGGTAAACGCATTGTTTTCTGCGCCGTGGTATTTTCAAAATCGAATTCCCTTTGTTGGGAGCGGGAGGCGGCAGGCGTTACGATAACGCGATTACGATTCGCACACAAGCTAACGCCCACGGCGGCCCACGTTATCCCCATCCCCGACCACTTGTTTTTTCGATTCGTCTCGCGTTACGGTGATGCGGGTAAATGATAATTTCCAGCCGCATATCCCTTAATTGAATTTATGTAAACGTATCAATTGTATCGTTATTTAAAATTAACGCGCGTATCGTATCACGGTGGCTTTGAACGTTTCGAATTTCCAATTTCGCACAACGGCTCCTCGTGCGTGCACGCGAAATTCTCGTAAACGTCGGTGTCGTCCTACTCGCCCGTTCCGAGTTTTCATTTGAATTTTAATCTAGACGATCGAACGACTCGTAATATTGGCCAGCGGCAGTGTTAGGTCCGGTGGCAGAAATTCGATGCGAAAGGAGGAGTTATCCGCGAGCTTAAATGCATTAAAATTATCGCATTTAGATCCGTGCGAAACGACGAATTTGCGCGAATCGAACGTTTAATTTAAAATTCGAGCGTTTGCTCGCTGTGAAAGTATCTATTTATACGTGGATGCACGCGAGATAGTTCGTACTCGTAGCGTGAATCGGGGATGAGTTTATCCAACGCTTCGTTGTGTTGATAGACAGCGCTTCGGGGATTTCTCGATGAGAAATCGAAAACGATGGACCGTGTTTAACCGCATCCTCGTGATGGATGAATGTTCATATCATAAATAATAATTAACGGTATTGTGAAAATTGGAGATAAATTGGCGCGATATTCACTTATTATGTTAATTCCAACGCGATTAGTTAGAATCGAGAATGTAAAGGATATCGTCTGTGTCAATTCGAATCAAATCGCCTCCCGTTTCAATTACGTGTATGCAACGCGATTAAGTTACTCGTAAACTTTAAGAAGCTTTAAGATCGGGTATCAAATCAACAAACGACCAAGAGTGACGATTAAACGCATTTCGTTCGAAGTTGAATTATGCACGCGACGAAACATCAACGAAATCACGTCAATCACATTTCCGGATGGAAACAGTCCAGGAAGGAAAAACTTAATTGTGAAACGATTCGATTCGAAGTTGGGCCGCTTCAAATTATCCACTCGCCTCCCCCTTTCGATGGCCAATCTACGACAATTCCGACCGATCGATTCCTTGCGTCTTTGCAAATTAACCGGACTGCGGTACGTCGCAGGGAGGCATGCTAATTTTTTGCCCGGCAAAACGGCCGGATTCCGGTCACGTATCGCGGTTGCGCACCGCTAACGAATTGAAAACTGGTAATTAAAGTTACCGTGACTTCTGATGGCGCGATTTCGGCCGTGCTGCTCGCGGCCGACTGCACATTTGTTACTGACAGTTCTTGCGACCGGATCATCGGGCCGGCCGAATTACAGCGTTGGTTCCGTTGGGTACCCATGCTACGTGAACACCCTCCCCCCTTGCTCGAGAACTCGCTCCGCCTCGCCTCAACTTTGTTACACTACGCAAGAATAAAACGAAGTTTCGACCGTTCGATTATAAACGAGATCCTTCGTGGAAACGAACGAGATTTCTTCGACGTCGATCGATTAAATCGGATAGTTTCTTCCCCCTCCCCCCTTCCCATAGCTTCGTCATAACGGGGAAGATTTGACGCGAGAGAACAGGTATCGTTTATTTAACTTGGCGAGAGCAAGTACACTCCGCCTTCGAAAACTTTCGAGTTTGTGCCTGGAGAGCTGTCGTTACGACTTTGATCGCACTTGGCCCGATATTCACGATGGAAAAGACCTTGAATAGCGATCCACCCGGCCCATCTCGAAAAACTTATAATTACCCGCAGACGCAACGACGATCTCTCTCGCGCTCGCACCGACGCTCCCCCCTCTCTCCCCTTTCTCATTACCGATTATCCGTAAGAGTTCGTTAAGCGCTACTTTCCCTTCCTCCTCCCTTTTCGACCACGTTTCCTGAGTATAAATTTGCGCGGCAATTCGCAGGAACGGGTACGTTTTACGCGAAACGCAGCACGCTAATTGCGCGTAGAATTTTTAGGCGCGTGCATTAGGCTCGTAAATATTTTCCGTTTATCGGCGGACGTCGTTGGAATGTTCGTGGCCGTTTATTGCTTAATTACAAGGCGAAGTGGAATTCAATCCTATGCAATTTCTTTCTTTCTTCAGCGTTTCTTCAGCCAAGGAACGGAAGATTCTCTCTATGTTTTATTCCCTCCCTCCCTCCCTCCCGTTAAAATATTTCCCATCCTATCTACAGCGATTACACTTTGTAACGTAGGTAATGTAAACGGCCCTGTTAACTGCGTATTAAAGTGGCTCGTGTACGACACTTGCAAGCATACCTCCGGGAGAAACGAATACCGTCAAACGTTTCCGTGACGCTGCAACTTATCCCATCCTTATATTATTCTTGTCTTCCCGGATCGCAACGGATCTCTTAACGGATCTCTTTCGAAATATCATATACACATATAAAACCCTCGTTCCATGAAAAAAGAAGAATGCAAAATTCGTGCGGGTAACGCACGATTGAAACGAACAGCGACGAAAGAACGTAGACTCATTCCGGATCGAAGTAATGGAGGGAGAAAAAGAAGAGAAAGAGAGAGAGAGAGAGAGAGAGAGAGAGAGAGAGAGAGAGA